GACTCAGAGAGGTGTTACGAAGATTCCAAAATGCAGGCCTCAGAGTAAAAAAAAGATAAATGCCGCTTATGTACCGAAAAAGTAGAATTTTTGGGATACCTCCTGGACAGCCAAGGAATTCATCCCACCGAAGACAAATTACGGGCAATTAAAAAGGCACCCACTCCGAGGAACAAGGCAGACCTACAGGTGTTCCTTGGACTTATCAATTTCTATAATGTGTTCTTACCCCACAAAGCAACAGTAGCTGAACCATTGCATAGACTATTAGACAAAAAAGCAATGTGGGTTTGGGGACAACGGGAACAACATGCTTTCCAACAAGTAAAGAAATTGCTAACTTCTGATTCAGTACTTATGCAGTACAACGAGACTCTGCCGCTCACTATCACGTGTGATGCATCACCTTTTGGGGTTGGGGCAATTCTGGCCCACGTGTTACCAAACGGAGCGGAAGCCCCCATCGCGTTTTTTTCGCGAACCTTAGCTAAAGCTGAACGCAATTATAGTCAGCTGGACAAGGAAGCTTTAGCTATTGTTGCTGCAGTTAAAAGATTTCACGAATATGTTTATGGCCGTGCCTTTACAATAATCACTGATCATAAACCGCTACTGGGGATCATTGCGGGTAATAAACCAACCCCGTATATATTGTCCCCCAGAATGACCCGTTGGTCTGAATTCCTGGCGGCCTACAACTACACTTTGCAGCACCGCCCGGGGAAATCGATTCTCCACGCCGATGCATTGAGCAGAACACCGCTTCCAGACGCTGTTGTGGATCCAGCCCCAACCCTCTCAACACTACAGATTGAAACTCTACAGGCACCACCCTTGACGGCTAGAGACATTGCTTTTGAAACGAAACGTGACCCAGTTCTGCAACACATACTACGCTGGGTTGAACGGGGGTGGCCGATGGACCAAATTGCACCTGAATGGGCGCCCTTCAAAGCCCACCAAACCGAGCTGCTTTCCCAAAAAGGCTGCATCTTGTGGGGCGATCGAGTCGTAATCCCTACCAAATTGCAACAGACTGTGCTGGCAGTATTGCATGAGGGACATCCGGGCATTGTGCGGATGAAATCACTCGCACGCAGCTACGCTTGGTGGCCGGGAATCGACAAAAGAATCGAGGCCTGGGTCGCTACGTGCCAACGTTGCCAGGACGTCAGCAACGCCCCACCGAAAGCAAGCCCAATCGACTGGGAAACACCGAGGGGACCGTGGTTTGACTTTGTGGGGCCTACCAAAGGTCACACTTTCCTGATTACTGTCGACGCCTATTCCAACTGGCTCGAAATTCATCGAATGCACACAACTACAACCGACTCAGTTATTAATAAATTAAACAGACTATTTGCCACGCACGGATTTCCGGACGTGTTGGTCTCGGACAACGGCCCGCAGTTCACGGCATTGCCTTTTGAACAATATCTGGCTGATCGGGGCATCCGCCATGCGCTGACCTCGCCCACGCACCCTGCGGCGAATGGACGTGCAGAACGCATGGTACAATTTGTGAAAAAGACCCTGCATAAAATGGAATTTGGAAACATCGACGAGAAAATCAATCGAATCCTGTTATTGCAGCACATCACGCCCCACAGCGTAACCAACAAAACACCCACTGAACTTCTTATGGGGCGGAAAATACGATCGCACCTTGACTGGCTCCACCCCGCTTTCGCACCAGAAAAACCTGTTGGCTCCAGCAGCAAATGCCGGGAATTTAAGGTAGGCGATTTAATCTTTGCCAAAAACTTTTCCGGCGACCCGTTATGGATACCCGCAACCGTTACCCACCTCACCGGGCCTAGATCGTACCGCCTGCTAACAGACGATAGGAGAGTGTGGAAACGCCACATAGACCAACTCCGATCGAGATTATCACCCAGCGGCCATGACTTCCCCGGTTCAAAAACTCAAGGGGGAGGGAGTATCGAGGGAATTGACTTTGATACAACTAATAGCGGGTCAACGGGAGCCCTACAGCCCAGCGAAGCACCGGAACGTGAAGCGGGGAGGGAGTTGATGTCTGCAGGGAACTTTAATACAGGGGAAAATGAACTGCAAAACCCCGAAGAAACACGCAGCAGCAGAGACATCCACAGTGAATGCAGCACGGAATCGCCGTGCAGCGAAATAGAACTTAACAATGGCCATCCAAACGCTCCACCGGAACCGGACATTGGACAAAACCCGGTGGAGCCTCGGAAATCATCCAGGCAGACCAAACGGCCTGCCTATCTTGAGGATTTTATCACAGCTCCCCTCAAACGGAACCCAAGGGGGAGGGGTGTTGTGAATCAATAAAAGTGTATAACCTAAATGCAAATTAGGGGTTGAAAACCTGCACACTTGATTGGTCCTTGTACAACAACTTGGGATTGGGCCAGAACCAGTCCCTGATTGGCCACTTTTGGGACTGTTCTTATTGGTTAGTAGTTTGAACGGATTGCACATTTTCATTGGTTAATAAGGCAGCAGCTAACCCTATAAAAGGGTTACTGCTGCCCATAGCATTGCTCTGTTCCATTCTGATTCCTGTTATTATTAAAGAGTTGAAGTCACTGGTCAGATGTCTGGTCTCCTTATTCTCCAAACTTAACAACATGATTAACAGAAAGCATTTCTTTTTTGTTTCACAAAGCAAATAAAGTCAACCATCCTTGCAAAACTCCACTGCACTGACTTTACTTAACAATGTCTCTTCTTCATATTAATGACCTTGCTTACTGGGACCTGTGGGTAGGTGGTGAGTGGGTGAATTATAGTCATTGTTGACTCCTGGTGATTATCTGGACAAGGCTCTACAAGTCTCTTGGCAAAATAGATATATTTATTATGTTGGCTTATTATATAACTTGTGTAGGTTTATTATATTAATGTTTTAATTGCTAGTTGGCAGTCACTCAGACTTTGCTAGAAAATGGGTGGTTATGTAAGTGATTTTAAATACATAACTTTCAAAACTTGATTGCCATCGCCTCCTTCATGGGGCTGAGAGAAAGTGACTGGCCAAGGTCTCCCATTTAGTTTTGTGCCTAAGGTGAGACTAGAACTCACAGCCTTTCACTTTCTAACCTGGTCCTTTAACTGCTAACAAAACTAGTGCTGTCCCTGGAACCTAGCCATCTGAAATTCCTTCTAGAAACTCTGTTTATTTATCAGGAGATAATCAACCAGAATGGAAAATCAGGAGTTCTAATTATTGCTGATTTATTTGTGTACTATGTGTATTATGGTATTTTTTTCATGTTGCAAAATCTTCTTGGACAAATAGACATGTAAATAATATTATTGTAACCCTAGGTCTTAACATAGGAATGCCATAAAATACAATAAAATAATAACAAAACAAATGAGAGGAATAGAAGTATTAGATGTAAAAAGATTACAACAGAACAAAGCCAAAGCTATAAGTAAGAACGTAAGTAATCTTTCTAAGCTTAAATGACAGCAGATCTCACTGTAATTCTTATACAAATAATGTCTAGTCCTTATTGATATTAGCACTTAGTGTGAAAATCAGATACTGGTTCAGTTTATGGATACCAGATCATTGGTAACAATAGACTAAAAAAGAAAAAGGGTGCCTGTTGATTTAGTAAAGAAGGAAGAAAAAGTCTAAATTTACATTCTGAGCATTTGCCTATATGTAATTTCAAGAACTGTGGATTACTATAAGCAGAACTTCGGTGTATGAAGTTACAAAAATTCTATTTAAGGAAAGTTCACATTTGTTCATTGGTGGAGGGAGGGAGGGAGGGAGGGAGGGAGGGAGGAAGGAAGGAAGGAAGGAAGGAAGGAAGGAAGGAAGGAAGGAAGGAAGGAAGGCTTTTCAGAATAGTAGAAAACTGAGGAATATGACCTAGCATATTTATTATCTAGCCTCTATGAATTTTAAGTTTTTATTAGAAACTTTAAAAGCAATAGAAATGATGCTAAACAGAATAGGTGGAAGAAAGAAAAGCAGACTCAAATTACAGCATTTGTTTTAATTAATATGCCATACTTAAAAAAAAAAAAATTTCCCCCCAGAATGGCTTACAATATTCTGAAATGTAAATTTGCCTGTTGTCATTTAAGAAAGATATTAAAGCAACCAAAACTCTTCATTCCATTGGAACATATATTTTTTGGTCTCAGGGCATCTAATGACTGAAGAATATAATCACACTGTGTACACATTCAATAATAATAACAATAAAAATGTCATATGGTTAAATAAATTTTAATTATCTTAGCTAACTAAGTAGTTTTGTAATGATTCCCTAATCTCTCATTACAAACATTTCTGAGGTCTTAAACAATCTTTGTCTATTTCTTTATTTGCTTTTCACTGTTTATTTTTATACTGCTGGATATTATTAGTTATTCTTAAGCATGTATTGAAAACTTGTATTGGCTTTTATTATTCCATCTTATCATTTTATGATTTAAAAAAAAATACCAGACTTTAGATTAAAAAGACATGAGTGTAACAGATTAAAGTAGATATGAATATAAAAGTGCAAGGAATTTGAACAATAAATATTCAACAGACATTCTTAAAACTGAGACATATATGGAATATACGTAATATAATTTAGTGGTAATTAATTCATTCATTTCAAAATGACCTCTTTATTTTAGAAGCTGAGGTCCTGAGTGTTATTCAGGTACAAGGGAAATGAAAACTAGATTTATAGATTTTATAATTTCAAATATGTGAGCCTCATTAAGATTAGGGAATAGACAAAAGAAAACTGAATTACAAATCACAAAAAAATTAAATATTTAGGAATATGGCTGACAGCAAGATGCTCATCAATAAAGGAAGATAATTACAATAAGCTAATGCAACAGACAAAGAAAGATTTGGAAACTTGGGGAAATTACAACTATCATTGGTAGGAAAAATTGCTCCTGTTAAAATGAATTTACTACCAAGGTGGCTATCTTTATTCCAAATGATTCTGGTAAAATTAGACAAAGATTGGCTAAAATATATTCACATATGAGTCCAGAATTCTGGAAATTTAAACCAAACAAGGTATCTTCTTTCACATGTGGTGGTCCTGCCCCAAAGCAAGAAAATATTGGAATAAGATAAGGAATTGATTGCAGGAAATTATTGGTCTCTAAATTGAACTCAAACCTGAAATGTTTCTCTTAGAAATAAAGTAATATTTAAGAAAGGAATTAAATATATTATAATACATATACTGACAGCGGCAAGAATAGCTTACACACAGAGTTGGAAACTAGATAGTACACCCCCCCTCCAATAGTAAGATAATAAAGAAAGTAATGGATTGTGCAGAAATGGTCAAACTCACATTGGAACTGCAAGATAGAGAAGATCTGGAATAATATATGGTCTGGGAGAAGTGGTATAATTGGTTAGACAGTAGAAACAAAAGTTAATGTAAATATGTATATTGACCTAAATGGAAAAGTCAATGTCATAATGCTGTGAATATTGTATATGAGTTTTTAAAATATGGAAAAGTTAAATAAAATTATTATTATTATATAAAAAAAAAGATTAGGGAATAGAAAATTTCAAGTGGTGACAAGGTGCATTTCTTGTTTATTTTTATATTTAGAACAGTATATATAAATATTGGACTAGATTTCCCTTTCCAATGCTAAAGAGTTATTTAAAAATTGAATACATGATGGATAGAGATCAACAATTGTAGTTCAAAATACCTGGAAGTCATCAGATTGTAAAATTCCCAAACATATCAATAATCAGGCAGAAGATAATCTAGAAATAGCATCTGGCCCAAAGTATTATTAGGATATATTTTAATCTTTAAAGGACAAGTACATGTAGAACAAAACTTCTATGAGATTTTCCATGTATCTCAGGTTGATGTAGTTTGACTGATTGCCAGTTACAGACTGAGCCCAATTCAAAATGCTCGATTTTATTAAAAATTGTTCAGAATGCTCAAGTTTGATCTACTCCTGGACTCATTGATGGAGGCATTCTTCTGGATATATTTAACATCACTAACTTATTGTGACAGGACCCATATTAGGAAAAACAAATACTGTACTTGGAATTTGAGCCAGAACTAGATAATTATTTTTTTTATTTTTTTTATTTGTCAATTGCTTACAAGATAATAGGTATAAGTAAAAAAAAGTTATGAATACATGGATACATATAAGAAAAAAAAAAGAAAAGAAAAGAAACAATAGGACAGGGACGGGAGCCACGTTGGTGCTCTTATGCACACCCCCTACAGACCTCTTAGGAAAGGGGTGAGGTCAATAGTAGACAGTCTAAGGTTAAAGTTTTTGGGGTTTGGGGGAAAAAAACCACAGAGTCAGGTAGAGTGTTCCAGACATTGACCACTCTGTTGCTGAAGTCGTATTTTCTGCAATCAAGTTTGGTGCGGTTAACCTTGAGTTTGTATCTATTGTGTGCTCTTGTGTTGTTATGGTTGAAGCTGAAGTATTCATTGACTGGTAGGAATTTCAATGTATGATTTTATATACTATACTTAGATCGGACCAAAGGCAGCGTAGTTCTAGGTTTTCTCGGTCTAGAATTTCGAGTCTGGTGGCATAAGGTATTCTGCAATGAGTAGTGGAGAACTCTTCTTGTGAAATATTTCTGGACTTTCTCAACTGTGTTAATATCAGATACGTAATGTGGGTTCCAGACTGATGAACTATATTCGAGTATTGGTCTAGCAAATGTTTTGTATGCTCTAGTTAGTAGTGTGATATTACCAGAGAAAAAGCTTCGTAAGATTAAACTAACAACTCTTAATGCCTTTTTGGCTTTGTAGTTACAGTGAGCTCTAGCACTTAGATCATTAGAGATGAGTACTCCAAGATCCTTGACAGAGTTTGGATCATCAACAAGGTCTTGACTATTCAGCCTGTATTTTATTTTCTGATTTTTTTTTGCCAATATGTAGGACAGAGCATTTATTTGTTGAGATTTGAAGTTGCCATTTGTTTGACTATTCTGATACATAGTCAAGGTCTTTTTGAAGAGTAGCCGTATTGTCTGTGGTGTTGAATAGCTTTACATTATCAGTGAAGAGAACGCAGTTGCTCTTGATATGATCACAGAGGTCATTTATGTAGAGTATGAAAAGAGTTGGTCCTAGAACACTGCCTTGAGGGACACCACTGTTGACAGGTACAGAATTTGATAGGACACTCCCAATTTTGACCATTTGTTGTCTGTTTGACAGGAATGCTTCTATCCAGTTATGCAGGTGTCCAGAGATACCATAAGATTTTAGTTTTAGGAGTAGTTTGTAGTTTACCACTGAATCAAAGGCTTTACAGAAATCTATGTAGATTACGTCTATTGCTTTGGCCTGATCGAGTTGTGTAGTCCATAAGTTTTTGCAGTGTAGGAGTTGCAGATTACATGATAGTTTTTTCATAAAACCAAATTGTTTATTAGGGAGTACGTTGTTTGTTTCTAAGTGGAGGATGATGGATTGGTTAATAATTGATTCCATGATTTTACACGTGATGCAGCATAAAGAGACTGGTCTGTAATTTTCAACTAGGCTGGGATCTCCATTTTTTTTTTTAAAAAAACAAGTTTTATTAATTTTCAAAACACACAAGTCATCATTATCCATTACATGTTTAAACCTTTTTCCATTATAAATTTAACAAGTCAGATAAACTATAATTCTGTTTTAAACCATTTCCATATAAACATACAAAAACCTCTTATCCATTTTCCCTTTATTTCTCTTTACTCTTATTCAATTTTATTATTATTATTTCATCTACTTCTTTCTGACTTAGTTACCATTATTCTCATTCTATATTTCTACAAGGTTTTATTAATTCTCCCCCCAAAAAAACAACATATACACACAACACACAAAACATAAAAAAGATCTTTTTGGAAAGTAACTTGGACCCAGGTATCTCTCTTTTCATGGACTTCAATTATATTCAGGCTCATCTTACATATCATTACTTATTTTATTTACCATTCTAAGTCTTCTATATTAACTTCTCCACATATTTCACTCTTCTTGATTCTATCTTAATTAATCATCTTAATTTGAGTCATTATATTTATATCTTTTGTCCATTCTCTATTGTACCTTTGTCTCATTCCTTTTAAAAAGAAAGAAATTTCTCCTGAAATCACTAATCAGAGTATGATGCCTTTCTATCTCCCCACTAAATTAATCAAATTAATCTTTAAAATACCCAATCCGATTTTGCTTGGTACATTCTAACTGAATAATACATCTAAAACAATTAAATACATAGTTAAGCAATAGATTTAAATATTAAAAACAAAATACTATAATGAAAGTTTTATAATAACATCAATACCATAATCTTAATAAACTCTTTAATTAAAGTTTAATATTCTAAATCTCCCCTCATATTATATTTTCAAACCAATCATTATTAACATTCCAACATTTTAATCTCTTATCAACTCTCAAGCCATTTAAATTTTCTATTTCTGGTACAATACTACAATATCATCTTATGTACCTTGCAAAATCTCTTTGAAGAAATTATACTTATCCTTTATCCCTAAAAAAAATTTCTTTTTTCCCATTTAATTTCAAAACTTTGTAGTTTTTCTCCACCTTTTCCCTTTCTTTCTTCCCCCAACAAACCTTTCTAGCCCCCCTTCTTCTAGCCTCTGCCTTACTGGCTTCCCTTCTCTGTCGTATTCCTCTTCCCTTTTGTTTACCATCCTTATATTGATTTTGCACCTTGTTTTTCCCTTTCTTAAATGTTTTTTTTAAATCTTAAGTCCTTTATTTCTCTTCTTTTTCCTCTTCCTTCCCTCTTGGTCGAGTTCTAAGATTTATTAAAGATGGCTTCCTCTCTTTGTTCTTCTTCTGCTGTCTTCATCTGTTGCAATGTTTGTTGATAGTTAATAAGCGCCATTTCTAAAAAAAGGAAGGCTTCTTTCAAACCAGCTTTACCATTTTGTTTTGCTTGCTCATAATCTTTTCTCAGTTCCTCGATAGAAGAAGCCATTATAAATCTTTTCTTTTCTTTTCTCTTACAACAGCCAGAATATTCCAAAGGAAAAATAAGACAATCCCAAAGTTCTCAGTCAGTCCAAACCAAGACAGAGTTCCCACTCTCTCCTCCTGGGGTAGTATCAATTAGAGAAAAAGAAAGTCCAAATCTGTTTCTTAAAGTCTTATTGCAATATATTTTAGTCTTTCAATCCTTAAGGCATCTCCTCCAACAAGGTCTTAGCATACAAATATTTTTTTTTTTAGTCCTCTCTTTTCCCACTCACCGCTTAGAGCCAGTTTTCACCTAAAAAAAATAGGTTTCTTAATGTTCACTTTTTATTCCGTGAAAAAAGAGGGTAAGCTATCCTTTCAGCACCATTAAACTGCCGCTTTTTTCCTCTTCTCGAAGGTATCATTCAGAAAGTCATACTTTTCAGGAATTTTGTTAAATATGTCTTAGAGTCCTAGGAACCAAGAAAGACTTTCTCCTCTCAAGCACTTTCTCCACTTCCTCCTGCGCATTCTTACCCGGCTGCCAGCTTCTTTGTGGCGGCCATTACGGACCGCCGCTGCACCGTCCTGGGAAAAGGGGGTTCTGCCGGCCGGGGAGGGGGTCTGCAACACCCCCAAACCCTTCTCCGGATCCCCCCTACCTTCAGCTGCCCCTGCAGGGCAGCCTAGCTCCGTACCCGTCTGGGTCGGAGCCCCAAAAACGGCTAGCGCGGCAGGGATCGCGCAGCTTCGCAAATCCCTGCCGCTCGCGAAGCCGACAAACCGGAAACCTAGGCTGGGATCTCCATTTTTGTAGATGGGGATGACCATGGTTTGTGACCATAGTTTTGGCAAGGAGCTGGTCCTGAAAGATTTTTCAAAGATTATGCTTAGAGGTTTGGCTATGG